CTGTAAGCCATGTCCAACACATGTTGGGTTGGTTCAGGACTCAGGGGTCTGCCCCACGGAGCCGACTGGAGATCCTGCTGCTTCAGCACGGCTTCACGGCTCGGACCTGCACACAACAGACGACTGTGTTCTTTCTACACCCAGTCCGTAACAACACAACTACAGGCCTTGTACTTACACATATTACCGTTCCATAGGTCACGGGGAACAACACATGAGGGTCTGGGGGTAGTGAGGAGGTCTCGGGCTAGTCCTCGTGTGTTCTCGCGAGACTAGCAGGCTCCACCAGGTGGCGTCAGGTCCAGGCAGGTGGAGGACAGGATGTTGTGTACACTGACAACAGGCCTGTCTGTCAGTCGGCTGCTAAATGGGGGTGAACGTGGCCTGGGGACAGACGCCGCATGGTGGACGGGACGGAAAATGGTTTACATGTGGCGTGGAGAACTCAAGCAGTCATTACCAACTTAACCACGCTGCGTGAAATCACCGACTTCCCACCGAAACAAATTTGTAGTGTAGTACACATACCGCTAGCCTCGGGAGGCTGGGGGAGACATTTCGTGTGAAGTTAAATTGCGTGCTCAACTTGTACAAATGACACTCAAATTCTTCCAAAACGATGACAAACTGAAGACATACGCCCATGCCACAGCCTCCAGATCTGGTACAGATCATACCAATAACTTCTGATCAGGAACAAAGAACATGCATAGAGTTCACCTTCAACTGGAGAAAACTCTCTGTGTTTGATATTTTTGTACATATATGCACTATATAAGGTCCTACACTAATGAGGCGACATTGTAAGTGTGCGTTAAAGCTGGCCGGACCAGACCCCCGACACAGAGAGGCGACATCAGTATGGTCCCTGTCAGCGGGGAGAGCGCAATGAGTCGTGATGAATACCGAATTATTTCGAGACCCAAGGCACTGACACTCATCTTGTTCTTCATACCTACAAGGTTTGTCTAAATATGTACCCGATTTCCAGGCCGTAGGGCTATCTATACCACAGCAGACAGGATGACGGAAACACTTATAGCTGTGATCTGAGTGCAGAATTAGTCAACTTTCGCAGGCGCCTCTCCGCCCTGCATTCCACATACCACTTCCCTTCTGAGACATCATTAGTCGTGACTTTGGCCTTGCCTGCGGCCCTGCTGACCCTTCGTGCCGGCCAGGCGCCGTGTGTCCTGTCGAGTCGCCGCCAGCCCGACCCTGCACGAGACGGCACATTACCCTTTTCCTCTCCTCTTCGACAAACGAAGACGTTTCGCTCTCAGGACGCTGCTGTATCTCGTGGAAAATCGTCCGTGACAGAGACATCCAGAAGTCAGACAACTGTTGAAAGTGTAGACTCCCCTTCTGACAAAAACAGTTAGTAGTTACCATCGCTGATGGCAACATGGTGTGAACGTCAGGTTTTAAAAAGGCCAAGGTAACAATGGCAATGGCCTTGTCTTTGTTTACTGAGTAGTTATCAAGGTGCTGAGATTGACGTTGCCAAACGTGGCGAACACTGATTGTATGTAGTCATGATGGACGACCGGGTGTCACGGGGAGAAAGGTGGTCCAGGGCCTCAAAGTCAAACCTGGGGTCAAACTGTCGCCGGTCCGGACGCGTACGGCCCGGTCGAAATCTCGCTCCAATCGATGATCGTTTGCAGCCTCCTGACGACGTACAGATGCCGATGATGACGTCGTGTTTGCCTTAAATCGAGTACTTATGCTGGGAAAATGATCTATATTTCATACGGATTGGATAATTATGGTCAGGCCTGCACTTGTGGCATGGCTGAGTGTGTGCGCTTTAAAAATGATTGACTCTCTCATTAAGTAACGCTGATATTTTCTGCTTCCATTACCATATTTACCAGGAAGTTTACACCCGTTTCTGTGGACACAATAACTCCTGTAATATTTCATCACCCCCGCACATCAACACCCACGTCACTTTTACAGCCCGCATATTAAAACTTGTCAGAAGAGCCACTTCAGAGGTCCGCTGGTTCTAAATTTGTACCCACGCACTAGTAGAAAGGGTTGCTCTAGATATGGTTGTGCCGATCAATCGCTGGGAGTCCTGGCAGTCATTCTCAACCGCTCAATCATTATCATGCCAAATCCTTGAAAAGCTGACTCGACGACTGGGCCTGAGATCGAACGCGCAATCAAGGTCGTCCCCGCCAGAATTTTCGATCACGTCCCGGCAAATGGTTGAACGAGTTTACATATGTTCTCCACTCCGACGTGCGCCGGGCTAACACGCACGGAAAATCCAATATCAGCAAATACCCTCCGCTTTACGAATAAATGCTAATGAAAATGATATTTCACGCTCGCCGCTGTAATCTCACTGAATCGGTGTTGAGCAGAAAATGGCCTTTTATCGCAGCCACCAAAAGGTCGCGGGATCAATGTACGTAATAATGACGGCCGCAGAGAGCCGGGCGCACCGCCTACAAAAGGCTGGAATTGTCGGTTGGACCTGACGTGCAGGGCCGACAATAAAACTTAACACAAGCAGACAGGTCATGGTATGATTTGCAGTTCTAGTTTGACAGCCCAGGGCGCGATTCTAGCAATCTTAGATCGGCATAAAGTTGATGAATATGCGATCAGCAGCGGTATAGTATATATCTCGGTCCACGCACTTGTACCTGTACGGTTTGTATCTGCCTGCAAACTACAACTAAATGTTCGATTTATCGCCATAATCAGCTCACTGAGAAATAACCACCTAGATGTTGATTATATATGAATTCAACATACAATACTTCCGCGGTTGGTTCTAAGTGCCGACAGTGTAGCTATAGGGTGGGTGTTTATACCTTCAAGCGAAAAGGACAGTCAGACGAACAATATTGAATCAAGCCGGGACCGTGATTAGGTCAATTTGCCAATCTGTCCAAGTTCTTTCACACTCTACGGACATGTACACAAGTTAAGCCTGCTTGTTTCCTTTGTTTTCTTTTACTTTTACCCTAGTTTTCAGCATTGACAAGTATTCATCGGGACCGTTTTTATAAGCGACTTTCGGAAAGCAGATTACGAGACATTCTATGGACACTGAAGTTTGATTATACACTGTAAACAATGTGTTATGAGGTAACAGTCTCTGAAATAGTTGTCACCACGTGATATGAAACAGCTTTAGTTTAAACTCTGCATGTAATGGATGGTAACGTCAAAGTTTGGCAAGCCTAACTTCTAACGACTATGCATTGTCCAATTGCATGCATTCACAGCACCTATAACGTAGTATCGCGTTACCGCCGGATTTATAAATGATCCACTCGGTTGACTAACAATTCGACATATGCGGTGCGGGGTGTAAACACTTCAACGTCGCCCTAACAAAACCTAATAATTACATTTAATGGCAAGATTAACTTTAAACGACCAACAGCATGTCAACGGTCGATGCTAATTCCATTTGGCGACATGATGTTGTTGTCAGTTCAGAGGTTCAGAGAAGAAAAATCAAGCACGTGAAAATGAAATCCAAGAATCAGTAAGCTAAAGATTCTGACCTGATATGCTCATGTACAAGTGGTGACCTGTGCATGTATTATTTAATTAAAACAGGGTTAAGAAGATTCATACTATTTAGAAAACTTGGAGTGGTGACCCTGACTAAAAATGCAATCGAGCACTTAAACATGTACGTTTCAGCATGTTGAAGTCAGCCATGTTCACTTGACACATGCTTTAAACCTTAAGGTCAGCAGCTAAAGTCGGGGAGACGTCAACGCACTGGAACGTAGACTAGGTGAAAGATCATTTGGATCTTCTTATCACTTCCTCATAAACACAGTCTGGAAGTGATTTGGTCTGAAGACTTGTGGTATGAAGTTTGACGTCAGCATCTTGGACTAATGGCGTATTTTTAAACCTAATTATTGCCAGCTACTTCCTCGTGTAGTGCACGTTGCAATAATAGAGCTGACTTTAAGTAATGAAATGCAAATGCAGAGAAAACTGTATGTTGTATTTGAGGGGTCGAATTCTCTATTTGCAACAACTGAGCTGCTATTAACGTGAAATTTTTCTCGATGGTTCTCAGTAAACCCCAACCTGCCCATTCTTTCCATAACCCCTTCTCCCGTTGGTTCCTCGCCCAAGTGTTTCCCCAGCCTGCCCAATTGGCACATAGGACAGAAGGATAAACAGGGTTGTGCACTAACAGGACGTGACCAAGTCCTATAGAGTAAGAGAAGTACTGTTATTATAACAAACATCTCTGGGCTGTCACCTTACGTGGACATCTAGGGAAAGAACTTCGTAAAAGTGGCCTAGCCAAGAGACTTACACTACCGCTAAACTAATGTTGGCCCAAGTCCTGGAAATACATTGACTGGAACACAAAGGCTGTGGTAAACGTGTGTTCCAGAAGGCCGATATTTGGTTATTTTAGCAGGTCGAGATGAAAGAAACGAATTATCTACAAAGCTGCTGACCACGACAGTGCACATGATATGGTTAGAAAGCACATGGTACCATTGCTGGTTATATCAGTGTATCTCGCTGAAAATTCACGGGTACACTATGGTATTAAAAGTATAAATAAAACATTATTTAGCCAAGTAGTAATTATTGGAGAAAGCTGCAAAGCTATTTTCAGCAGAGGAAATGGTATGTATGCGTAGCCGTGGCTGAAGCGGCGTTAATTTGCCTTCAGCTGTGATGTACTGTGCCGTAAGAGGGGGGTGTTGAGCGATGGTTCAGGATGGGTGAAACCTGACGCCGTAAGGACAGGTGCACCCGCCTATATACACACCGCACCCCGGCCACACTCCTGCATTTACCCGCGACGGCAAGGCGTGCAAATGGACGGCAGTGCGGCATTGTGCCACAACAAGTGCTAAGCGGGAGGTTACAAAGTATTGAGTTCTCCCCCGCCCATTGTACCAACAGATTATCTGACACGCACCTGACTAGACCTACACTACACAAAACCTTCCCCGCAACATCGCACAACAAAACACGCCTCTCTCGGTTACATGTAACGTATACATTTATTTATGTTGGAATTTACACACAACTCAGTTTAAGAATGGGAAATAGCAGCATACGATACATCGGTACACCTGTTTAGATGTATAGATCACACTGCTTAGTCTTTGTAGGCTCTCTAGCCTGACGGTTGGTTTAGACTGCGGCTGTGTAACGCTATCTAAGCATGTCGGTCTGACGGTGAACTCACCACTGAGAACCGGAAACCTACGCTACACTACACTCCCCCCACACCGACTCGTACAAAACACATCAAACCAGTTCAAATATCACACATCAAATCAAAACTCAGCTACTAGAAAATATCCACACAACGATTCAAATCCACGTGTTACAGAGTGTAAAAGCACCCCACAATATATATTTATAAATCTCATGTCGTGAATTATTACTATACACAGTATGAGTACACGTTACAATATAGTTGGTCCTCATTATGCATATATACAAACAAAATATACAATATACAACAAATACAAAATCTTTAAATATTCATACGGAAGCAATGTGTATTTTCACTCTTTTCTCTTTGGTGTTTTTACACGTTATTTTTTGCTATTCGATTCTTCCTTTACTTTCCTATTAGCAATCTGAGGTCCCTGTGTAGAAATCGTGAAGCACACTCGATCATAAATCTGCACTACACACACCATTGACTCTGTAGCCACGAAGGACTCATCAATTTGATTCCCCGAGAATTTCGTCCGTGCTTGGTTGGTTGAACAACAGCAGAGCAGCAAATACAACAGCACTAGCGACATGTACACAAGACGACTTTACTTCACACAATTAAAGCAACCCGCAAACGAGTTTTCTCTGGGTGTATACGTAAACTCAACAGAGGTAGTCAGGAATTTTACACGAGACCGCTGCGGTAAAACGGGGAATAAATATATCCCTAACGAAAACTTACGGAAACCAAGGTGTTTACCTAAGCTTCACATACAAGAAAACTACAACATAATTACGCTATTGCTTGTCTGGTGGTTGTGGCATGTGTGTTGGGCTAGCTCGCCAAACGACATACATTGAGTTTGTGGTACCCGTTCTTCCATAATGCACCCAGCGGGACACACAAGCGGCGCTTAATATGTAACAAATATATAGAAATAACCTTTCGGGTTGAAGTGGGGGTGACGGCGGGGCGAAGGGCGGTCAGGACCCCGTAGGGACGGGAGGAGTGTCCGTTTAGTGTGCCCTGTGGTTCCCGGTGGGAGTGTGTGTAGGCTGGGGCTGTGGTGGTACTATCTGGAGAGGCTTGTTAACGCCATGGCTGCCACGAACTCTCTCGGCCGAGACTGCCCCGGGACGCCGTCACTTGACCTACACAAAACAAACGAAAAAATCCGAATCGGTAAATTAACAACGTCTATATGTAGTCAATAAATCAATTTTAGCCAGTTCCACTCCGTTATGCCACCAGCATGTCTGGTACAACCAGACATATTTCTTCCATGCGGTGATACGCAGGCTTTTATTATGCGAATAACTGTCAATAAAGTAATAAATGTGGAAACGAATGCTTTTATAAACCATTTTCTTTGTTAATGAAACTCGTATAAGCACCTTATGCTATACAGACCTGCACTTTTTAATTTACTTTTTTAACCCAACATGCAAATAGACATCTCTATGTTGGACAATTGCAGTTCATGCTAATTTTAGTTCATAGCACAAGACAGGCACAACATAGAAACTAGAAAAATGCAGGACATGTACAAGTAAAAATTCACAGGTAACGCATGCTTGCCCTCCGCTATCTTGGAGTGATATTTAAGAAATGTACATAATTTTGGTGGCGACATTTTTTCACTGTTCTTTCGCCCATTCGCACAACATCATAATTACATGCTGTACCCAGTTGGTATTGAAACCAACTATAAGAAAGCACACGCCACGGAGCTACAATTTTGACCACAAACAGATCTATAAAAACAAGCGTGAAAGAAAGCTATTCTGTGCGGTGAAGTCTGGGACAGAGTAGACAATGGAAGTGCTATTTACCTCATCTTACCTCTTTTGTACCGGCTTGAAAGCTGTACGGATGGGTTGGTCGGCCTCGCAGCCCAAGTCTATAGCCGTTCTGCAAGGTTCTGTAGGAAAATATACCATATATTCTTAGAACTGTTTGGCTTACACATGTGCTGTACACACACACAAATACTCAACAACCGGCCTACAAAATACGACTCGCAGTTGTCTACAAAAATGTCCTTTACGTCGTGGAAAGATACCATCGCTTCATGCAAATTTCATTATCCAATAATTGAAATCAACTTAAAACGCCGAAGAGATAAATCTCGGCCGAGGGAAAGTGATTTCCGTCGTAAACACTTCACGATGCTGTTCTCTAATCCCTTTTCCTGTAGTGTACATTTTTATTTTTTAAGGCACTGAATACTCTAGTAGTTCACAATATAATTATTCTAACGAAAGTTCAAATTCGAGGGTATGACTTGTTTTTACTTTGGCAGAAGGCAGCATGGAAGAAACAGTAATTACTCTCTCTATAAACAATACTACAATAACATTTGTGTTGTCAGAGACCGAGATTTCGTTACCAACCACAACAGACGAAATGTTTCGCATACATATGATTTATGGAGGGAGTACAATAGGTGAGAGCTTGTCGAGGCTATGCCAGATGATATCTCATTAAGGGTCGGACTCTTTGCGGGGTCAATGCACTGAAATATTTAACACTGCTCTCGCGAGTACGAACGCTGTAAGCTTTTTTGCTAAAATATGCAAGCTTGTTTATGGAGGGCTGGGGTTAAACTCACCGTCTTTGGCTGGTGAAGCATGAGTCCTGAGTGCGATGGGGAGGGCAGGGGTTCTCTCCTGGGACGACACGAATCCTGGGGGAGTGGTGTGCGGAGTGGAGCTAGGGTGCATTCCCGATACCGTTGCCGAGGCAGATGCCTGACTTGCCACGGGCAGAGGTCCCATCGGGCCCGAAGGCAATGATCCGATCGGCCGGTGGAAAACTCCGTCCACCCACTGCCGTAGGTTGGTTACCGCGGAATCGAAAGGTCTATGGTGTGAAAATTGCATATGTACGGGGCCTTGTAGGGTCGTTTTGACTATGTCCGGCCGTGGGGCAGGGCTACTACAGGTCGCCGTGTCGGCTAAGGACCAGATCTTTGGCTTGTTTTCGGAAGGAATCGGCGGGACCGGTACAGAGTTCGCGGCCGGACTGGGCTCGGGACTGGCCGGTCTCGGTGCAGCACTAATAGATCCCAGGGAATCAGCGGGGCTGGAGGACTGAGGCGGCGGCCGATAGTCCGATACTGACCCGCTGGTGTTGTCTTCCTGTCGGCTTTCTTCGCAAGGATTTCCCACATCCAACTCCTTATTATCTCTGTCTCCCTCCAGCCCTGTAACAGATGGCAAGAAGCGGGAAGATGTATCAGTAGAGCTCAGTCAAACGGAGTAAATGTTGGAGGGATCAAGATCGCCTAAAATATTTACAGGCTCAGGATTAGGTGAACCATTTCCTCACGACTGGGACACATAAAGTTTCATCTCTCCAACCAGGCCAATCAAGCTAGCTGCTGACCCAGTAAAGCGTACATCTATCATTCCCTTACCTCCGTGATTGTCGTCGTCGCTGTTTCCCTCGCGATCTTTTCTGTCTTCATCATCGTCGTCGTCTTCGTTGTCGCTCCCGTCTTCCCTCCTTCCGTCTTCCCCACACCTGTTTCTCGGCGACCAGGTCATTTTGTTCTCCTTCTTGAGTCTCCTCCTGGCGTTCGCGAACCATGTGGACACCTGAGTTAGAGTCATTTTGGTGATGATTGCGAGCATGATCTTCTCGCCCTTGGTGGGGTACGGGTTCTTCCTGTGTTCATTGAGCCAGGCCTTGAGGGTACTGGTGGCGTCTCTGGTGGCGTTTTTCCGTCTTGTTCCGTCCATAGCACCATAGCTGAAAATTGCAAGATGCAATGAATGAAAAACACAATAGTTGAAACCCACATAATTTTGATAACAATTACATCTATGCATAAGCATATTAATAATTACCGGAGCTGGAAAATACCGCAAGTAAACATCGCTCTTACCTGCCGTATGGGTACTGTGCGCCGGCGGCTAACGTGGCCGGGTCGTACGGGTAGTAGGCGGTGGGCTGCTGGAGACCTGCCGACGGGTCGTACGGGTTCGCCTGCAGCAAGTCAGGAGACAGTACAGTCGCAGGTTAATTTCCACATGTCAACAATAGTAAACATGGCGCGCGAGTCAAGCCGTCCCACTGATCGTATGTGACAACGTGGTGCCATACGGGGCGACCTCATATACCACATACACATTATCAGTCGGCCAGGGAACATGGCTGGGTATGGTTACGGCCTGATCAGGTGTAAAACCGAAATTTGTAACGATAACACACACAGTGCTTATTATAATTAGAGCAAACGTTTTATCTTTGGTTCGTAATAATCACGGATAAAAACACTCAGATTAAGTGTGCCATGCAATAGTATACAGGCGGGTTTCGCTCGCAGCACAGAACTAAACCTTTACTTTATACCTACCAAAGGAGAGTAGAAGGCCGACGGGTCGGCACCGAAGGAGGCGATGTAGCCCTGTCCGGCGTACGGCGAGCCGTACACGCTGCTGAGGGACATCTCACCGACCCGTGGCGGCACCAGCCCGGCCACCCTGCCCTCGTACTGACAGGAGCACACGGCCTGGCCGGTGTGCGGGTCCGACATGATGGGCCGCCCGGCCTCGCAGCACGACGCGGCGTGGCTGGACATGAGCAACTGCCGTGGAGAGAGAACACAACAAAGAGTGAGTCGGGCCCGGCTTCCTCGGGTCAGGCGATGCAAATGAGCAGCAAAAATCGAAATGAGGAGGTGGTCTTATAGGTACGAGCTTGCAGGGGTCGATGGGGAGGGCGAGCGTCGGATGAGAACACGGGTTAAATTGTTGCTATACCAGAGAATGGACTTAGGCACTACCACTATGCATTACCTGTGATGAGGACGGGTAGGGGTAACCGAACTGTGCGTACGACATGCCGGACAGAGTCCTGGCCAGTCCGTTGGTCTCCTGTAACCTGTCCAGGAGTTCCCCTGCCTTAGACAGCTCCAGCGTGGCTGTGATGTGGGGTTCCTCACTAGACAAGAAGTTGATTACACGGAAGCCCTGAGAGTGCCGTCTCCACTCCTGGAGTCACTTACTTCAACTGGTGCCTATCAACTAGTAAGGCAGAACAACTCCGTGCAGCGCCCAGTGTTGATTTACAGAGTAAACGATCACAGTCGGTCTCCTCACACTGCACTGTCATACAGGTGCATCTTGGGTCCCAAGAACACGGAAGGACACTGTTTGGATGAGACTAGTAAAGTCTATAATAAGCGACCAGTTCTCCCGGACCCTCTCACAACAGTGGCCTGTCTCCCTGTGGTGTCGACATGCCTTACGTCACGAGGACAAGGGTCTGACACGACAGTTCCGCTTAACTTCGCCAATCGTATTAATTTATGTACAACCCAAAACATTGGCGGACGCGCCAAAATGACTGGCAGGCGATGAGTTGTTAACATTCATTTATTGTGCATGACAAGCAGGGAACAGACGACGGGGACAATGAGGCCCCGCCTCGGTGGGTGTGGGTTGACACCGGGGCCAGCCCTCCTGGGTGCCTGAATTTGCTGCTAAAAACATGCATCACCGTCCATTTCATAAAAACAGCACACAGCTTTGTGCAAGTACACAGTCCATGTACACACGACTTGGTGAAATCTGCGATAAAGCTGAACGGGATAGACTAAAATCAATGGTGGTTCTAGTTGTTATATTAGACGCGCCGCTAGAGGGCAATGCTCTGTGGTCCCAACAATCAGGAGGCGGGACTCGGCTATTGGCTGCCTCCGACCAAATACAAATGCCCGGCTGTTGTTTCGTTAACACAGTCATATTTACTCACAACAGAGGCCCAAGGGTGAATACTGGCTGACTCTCACCCTTGTATCTCCTGTCTAACCCCACAGAGTTGGAAGAAGACGTCCCACTCACAAATCAGTTACACGGGTGATCGCATAGATTAGGTGGTTGGTTAGTCCATATAAGTTTATTGCTTTGTCTGTCCCTATACAGAATCATCACCTCGTTACGAGCTGACACATTGGCACCAACTTGTGAAGTCAGTTTGTTTTGTTGTCCCATCTCACAGCTATATACAAATTGACTTAGACAAAACAAATGCGTGTGTCCCGACCCATGTAGGGCTTCCCCTGGCTAATTAACGCTTTTTGTGTCGTGGTTAACTTGTGCCATTTAAAACAATGGCGGCTACTATCAATCACGTCTCGTCCCCAGGCGGGCTGACAGCCACTTCTCTCTGTCAAAAGAGCAGTTCCCGGGAAGACCCCTCTCTCCTGAGCCCCGCACTTTATTAAAAGCCCCTTCTGGTGCCGAGCGAGGGGAGGCCTTCCCACAGCCATTTGTGGAGAATTGGTCTCGTGGGGAGCGTGCGAGGCTCGGACCGGCATCAGTAATGAGGCTTCGCAAATTTGGCGTCGTAAACTTGTGGCCTTGTCAGCGCGACGGGCACGTAGCCGGCCGGCCGACACCGGGCCGCATGAGTCTTCGCTACTGCGTCAATTATGAATATGATAAACGTCTGCGCTGGAGACGGATTAGACGTAATGTTGACACGCAGGAGACCCAGTCATGAATCTGGCCGTCTCACTGCGTGATGAATTAAAGGTGCGTTGATCGAGCAACGGTATCAATAGACGGATTTTAAATACAACTGGGCATCAGTGTCTGGATTCTGATCATTGCTTTTGAGCTTTCTTGTCAATTTTCACTTCAGAAGTCCAAGACAACAGATACTCAAAATGATCAAGTTTTCCTTTGTCAGAAAGGAGGGTATTCGGACCAACCTACTATTCAGCGCCGTCGTCTGACCAAAATTACTGACAAATGTGTAAATCAAGTCTTTAAGGCCACACCGAGTAAATTTTATGGATGACGTCCGCGCGCGCATTGATTTTGGCCTGTTCCTAGAAAAAAAAAAGAAATTCCGCTTCCTGTAACTATAACCAAAGAGTGACGACAGTGCCGCAATTTTATGCTTTGTTTCTGCAGGCCTGCAAAAATGTGATGAAAGAAACAGGACAGGACGACAACTGCTGTTCCACCTGATTTATTGCTATTTTGATGATGAATGAAAGACTTCTTGCTTGTTACACTGTGTCACCTCATTCAATCTGTGTCCTAACATTTGTCGTCTCTTAGTATATTTCTAATCTAGGCATCTTGTTTTTTTAGGGCCCTTCTTGTTTTTTTTTCGCCCTCTCGCATTAGATTTAGGGTCTCCAAAGGACGTCATCCATAAAATTTACTTGGTGTGGCCTAATATACATTAGAGATATTGCTCTTCCTTTTTGTATTTTAACGCTTGATCATCTCCTTTTCTCTTTATTCAGTCGATAAAGTTTTTTTTTCTCACAAGAAGGCCTGACCTTTTCACAGGTACATGGTTATGCCTGGGCTAACGTGTGGCCCCCTCTTTGCTCCGGAGGGGGTAAAATCCGTGTCACAAAATACTGGCACTGGTTACAAAATACCGGCCAAACAGCCCACCGTACAGACATCGTAGGAACTCTGGGTGGGGTTGACAAAACTAATCACAGGAACACCTCTTCTGTGTCGGTGGGTATATACACGGGGGCACAATACTACCACAATAAACAGTGGCACACATTAGTAAGTCACAAAGGAAGGGCACGAGGATGGTTGGCGGCCTCGTGGGGTTCGATGTCATACATGCCGCAAACACAGCCTCCGACTCGCCTTTATTCCGGAGGGCGAGCGCCCATCTACCGCTACAAGGTAAACACACCACAGGTGTTGATGCTACAAATACTCATACAAGAAGGGAAAACGCCAGGGTATGACTTTACGGATATCTGTTTGTATATTGTCTACAGTGGTAAGGCAATGAGGCGTCACACTGGCTCGTCAGATACCATCTCACCTATGTAGGTCCCACGTCTTCTCGGTCGCCGTCTTGGAGATTATCGGAGATGATCCGAGAAGATTCTTCAATCCCGTAAGATCATCTCACGAGCGTGTGTGGCAAAATATGAGAAAGGATCTCGTCGAGTGGGAGTAAAGACTAACGAAAGCTAAAAGTGATTTTTCTCTGTTTTTTTTACCTGGTATATGGACCACCTGTACAGTGTGACGCCATATGACACCTTCCTCCAGTGAAAATCACAGGGGTGTCAGAATGCACAGAGTAGTATCAACTATGGGAGATTTAATGTCAGCTCGGAGGAGATGTTTACGTTTCTGGTTGCCTCACTTCCGCGGATCAGCCATCTCTCGTCGTTCAGGGGTTTTGCCTAACGTGACATGACAGCACGGAATGTGAGGTGACGGGAAACATTCTTTTTTTCGGCTGTCTACCGAGCGCCATGCCACCCTTCACGGAAACCACCGTGACCTGCAAACGAAAACGAACGCGGGAAAAACACACTAACGCACGTTTTTAACCCACAACTTGGTCCCTGAACGCGTCTCTGGGAGTCAAAGAAAAGCAGCGAGCATTGTAAGAGCCAAGGCGAATCGGTAAAGTTGGTTAACACATGTACCCACCCTGTCCCGCACTCGCGAACAAAAGCTCCTCAGTGTATGTGATTACCGCGGCATAAAGGCCTGACCCGGCTCGCTTAGCTACTGTTTTTCACGACTTCTTGAGTTACGAGTTGATACTGTTACAAGTTTTGATAGTCTGCAAAAGGGCGCGACAGGATTGCATGGTAGGGTTACTGTGGGGCGACAGGGGTCGGCGGGGCGCCTTGAAATCAAATCAGGAGAAAATCGCAGGTATATAGCCGCATGGAGGGGGCTATTGTTGCAGGCCTGGCCTTGTGCTGCGCTACTTGGAGCGGTAATTGCAAGGTCCGGCAACTATTTTAACGGACGGTATTGTAGCTGGGAGACTTATCTTCGCTTTTTTAGTTTCCCATGTCCTCCACAGATATGATATACACAAGCGATAGCTGTGTCGAGTCAGTAAAAATAACACCCAGACAACTTTGAAGAGATAACATTTCCACGGGAGGGGGAGTGTCGGTGACCAGATGTAGGTTATATAGAAAATCATAGATGATATCGTTCTCATGAAATTAGACTAGTAGATATCACGGACAGACTGACGGGGCTACGATAGGAACAAACGTAGACAAATAATGCCGCGCTACTGTGGAGCGTCACCTGCCTTTCTTATCGTCACACAGAATCGGACTGTGGTCTTCCCACGTCTTCTTCTGCTCAAACGTTATCAAGAGACGAGACATAACGGGGTCGGCGGGCTCTCCGGACCGACACAGAGAAATCATCGCGGGGATTACGGCAGGGGAGAAGGGTCCCAATTGCACCCTGCTTCAGATGGCGATGATATGCCGGTATCAAACTGGGACAGGTGTCAGGGAGGTGAGATAGAGACCAGGACGGCACAGTTGATAAACAATGAATTCCGACATACCCGGTCGTTTTGTAAGGATTTAGAAGGCGAGATGTACATACAAATGTAGGATGACGTGTGTGTAAGTTTGCCGGTGGAGAAAATATAACGGTATTTGGGTCAGGATTTTGTGAAACGGCTTCCAGGTGTCGCCCAAGGACGCAAGGCGTGGTGCGCACGTCGTCTTATCATCATCATGTATTTCCATGTAGCAATGTGATATGACATGGTTTCTGAAGATGAAGTCGTGTTTGTTTTATGAATATGACGATTATGGTGTTGCTTGAAATCCAAGTCATGGAAGAAAAGAGACACACTTAGCATGGTCGATGACGTCAGTGGGCGTGGCTAACTGTTGCACCAAACTCCTGCTATTGGCTGTTGGTGCTTATTATATTCTTCCATTAGCAAACATACAAGTACAAAAGTCAAGTATGTAGCTAGTCTTCCCGGAGTTAAACATACATCAGACAAATACACTACATCAAAATTGAAACATTATTTACCGAAGTAACATCACATGTGCCTAACATCACATGTGCGTATCAACTACTACATGTATCTACATATGTGCCCTATTAACTTTTGCCTAAACCTTGAAGTATGTCAAGGTGTCCGCAATACGAGTTGTTCAGTTGCAGCCCCCATGGACTTGTGTAGTCAGAATATAGTGTATTATATACAGAATCTATTTCTATTGTAGTGTACGCCTCTTATTTCTAAAACACAGTAATATCTATCAGCTGTTCCACGTTTATATCGAACCGAGCCTTGTGGACTTACGAGTACAGAGATAACCACAGTGGCCTACATCCCTATCTAGTCGTACGTGTAAGCCAGCCAGCCCAGCTCGCCCCCATTTCCACATTACCAGAGGAAGAAAGGCTGATCCCCCCTTGATCTTCGCAGTCCTGTCCATTGCCTCGTGTAATGTGTTAAACGCGGAGAAATCCGAACTTCAATCCGCACGACTTAAGGGCTCAGCGCTTCCATACGCGCCGGGAAACCTGTTGGATTTCCCGCGGAAACCTCTCGGTAGCTCACCCGGCGTACTCTCCAAGCAGAGGTTTGGGTTCTGGCTTAATTTTGGCGTGTTTTTAGGCTTTTT